AATTTGCTTAAATTTGCATTAAAAATCATTCATATATTGGATATTTAGCGAGCTGTGGAAAACAACCAGCCAGCAACACTAGAAATGATGGCAGAGATAGTGGAAAAAGAAATCGAAAAGATAGAGCAAGCAGCAAAGAAAAAATGCCAAAAGTCATGAGCTGGAGATATGATTGAAGAAGAAGAGGAAGATGATGACTATGACAATTTTATAAGTTTCTTTAATACTTTTTGCAATTTGTTTCTTTGAAGTCTTATAAAAAAAATTAATTTTTTATTCAAAAGGTCGCTGACTTGGATCGCAAATATATGTAATATAGTTTTCTTTAAATTTGTATATTACTTGAAATTGCTACTGCTATTGCTGCTTAAAATTGTTACTGCTACTTGAAACTGACATTGCGAAGTTTTGCGCAGAATTTTAAAAAAAATTTTAAAAATCTGCGCAGACCTACATTTTGTTGCAGATCTGTGCAGATTTTTTAAATTTTTTTCTTTATCAATTGTCACCAGGTTCGAAGTTTTGCGCAGATTTTTGGACCTGAAGATCTGTGCAAAACTGCGCTCTCGAAAATTTTCTGATAAAAGATAAATAATGAAGTATTCATTTTGTTGAATAGCTAGAATGAGTTTAGAAATCTTCTTTTAATTCAAATAATTTATTATTAAATAATCTTTTTTTTATTGATTACTTTTAATAAAAATAACTTTTTTTTTATTAAATTTCTAGATAATATTAACTAAATTTGCAATATAATAACAAGAGATTAATTATGTTAAATAGAAGATATTACTTGTTACAGACAAGAGATCTTTAAAAATAAAAGAATATAAATAAAAAAGAAAAAGAATAATTAATGCTTGATTAAAAAACTCTAACTCAAGACTTATAATATGACTCACTTCTAAGAAGATTTTGTCAAAAAAAAATTAAGCTACATGTTATATTTATATAAGTTATTATTACTCAATCTTCAAAATTTAAAGTTATTTTTAATTGATATTATAATTACAAAAAGTACTCACTCACTTGATGGTTATATATCACTTGCTCTAATATTATATAAATTTTATTATTAATATCAATCAAATTAGATTATGTAGATTAATTAACATGTGTTTTTTATACTAATAATAATAATATAAATTAAATATAATTAGTATAAATTCTAATTAAAGTAGAATGAAATAATATAAAAATATAATAAAATAATATAAAATATAATAAAAATAGAATGAAATAGTATAAAATAAAAATGGAACAATATGAAATATAATAAAAATAAAATAAAATAGTATAAAATAAAAATGGAATAATATGAAATATAATAAAAATAAAATAAAATAGTATAAGTAAAATATGAATAATATAAAATAAATATAAATATAAATTCATATTATAATAATATTAATATTAAAAACATTTAGCAAATAAACAAATATGTATATAGATATAACATTTATATTGCTTTATTTATTATTGTGAATTTGTAATTATTTATAGAAGAATTTAACAAAAATTTTGAATATATCATCACATTACAATTAATAAAGTACATATGCATAATTGCAAAAAATAATTGGTAATTTATTTTACTACTGCACTTAAATTATATTATTTTTTAAATAATTCACACGTAAAATAACACATATTTAATGTGATTAAAGTGCTTGTATCATAGCGAAATTTAATATTTTTTTATTATGATCTATTTTTATTTAGTTATATTAAATATTTTGAATTATAAAGGATTTTTTATATAAACTTTAAATGTAAAAAAAATATATTATTTAATAGTTTTTGATAAGTATTTTATTTTAAAGTTTATATATTTTTTATTGAGAAAATACAATTTTAAATAATGCATTTATTAAAAATTTCAGTATTAATATAAAAAATATAAATCTGACCAATCATATTCAATTTTATAAGCAATGATCTGCAAAATTTTTGACTTATAAGTCATAATCTATAAAATTTTCGGCACTTTAATATGACCAAGTGAAACGCATCATAGTTTTTTTTTAAAAAAAAGCTCTTTATTATATTAAAATATAGTATTTGTTAAATGTCTGAGCAAACTTCTTAAACAAGTTAATATGTAAATTATTGAGGAGATACAATTTGAAATATGATAATTTTATATAAAAAGACTATGAAAAATTGTCATATTTAAAATTGTATCTCCTCAATAATTTACATATTAACTTGTTTAGAAATTTTGTTCAGACATTTAACAAATACTATATTTTAATGTAATAGAGAGCTTTTTAAAGACTGAAAAATTATTAATAAAGTTATTAAATTTTTGTTAAAAATATAAGGGAAGTGAGGGTATTATGACGAAGGAGGGTATTATAACGAAGGAGGGTATTATGACGAAATAGCGATATCTCGATCTCCTGTGATCGGAATCGCACGAAAATGCCACCATTTGATTCGCCGCAACGAGACGAATCGAATGGTGGTATTTTCGTGCGATTCCGATCATTGGAGATCGAGATATCGCAACCGGAAGTCACCATACACAAGAAAAATAAAATTTCGGGTGACGATCCACGTTCGGTGAATTTCGGGGGCGATATCTCGATCCCTAGTGATCGGAATCCCACGAAAATACCACTATTCGATTCGTCTCGTTACGGCGAATCGAATGGTGGCATTTTCGTGGGATTCCGATCACTAGGGATCGAGATATCACATATTTTACTTTAGTTCGTCATAATACCTTATGTATTTCATATAGATCGTCGTATTGTTACACGAAAATTTGGTCTAATCATTTTTCATATGGGACTATACATAGAATTTATCTATATAATGCACCGAATACCCCAACTATTCGTTATCGATCAAACCCTTTTCATTTTTTTATTGATTAACGTCAACCTCTCCCCAGTAAAAATTCAAAATGTCTTACTCAAAAGTATCATTCCCGAAACACGCTGAAAGACCACTAGTAACTCTAGAACAACAAGACGAAATTTTCATCCTAACAATGAAAGACGGTGAGAACAGGTTTACAGTTACTTTTATCGAGGCACTATTCGCTGCATTAGATGAGGTTGAACGTATTCGCGGTGATTCTACCGAGCCGGCGGCACTGGTGACCACCGGTGAAGGAAAATTTTACAGCAATGGTCTGGATTTGGAGCACGCGCTTTCGACGCCGAACTTTTTTGAAAATTATTATTTAAAGTTTTTGGTTCGGTTGTTGACGTTCCCGATACCTACTGTTGCGGCTCTTAATGGCCATGCGTTTGCTGGTGGATTTATGATGGCATTTGCTCATGGTATTGTCATTCATTCGTAAAGGAAGGGGTGGAGTGGAGGAAAAAGCATTTGCTAATGTTCCTGGCACATGTATTTTTTTTAGATTATCGAGTAATGAGAATTGATCGTGGATATCTTTGCATGGTGATTATGATTTACTTTTACGCTACCATCAAAATTTCTTTTTCAAGTAATATATATGATATTTATTACAATTCATCTAAAAAAAAAATTAAAAAAACAGAACGAGATAGACATCCCATCACCAGTTCACCCAGGCATGGCCGCAATAGTACGTGTAAAAATGTCAAACGCGAAAACTTTTCGCGATTGCTTGCTACAAGGCTATCGATTCAACGCGCAAGAAGCACTTAATCGCGAATTAGTCGACATTATCGCACCAGCAGATCAAGTTCTACCGAAAGCTAAAGAATTGGCCAAAAAATGGTCAGTAAAGGCGAGGGCTGGTCCGATATACAAATCATTGAAAGAAGAAATGTACTATGAAATTATAAACTTCATGACTATGCCTGATTGGGCAAAACCAAATTTATAATGTAACTGTAACTGTAACTAGCAAATACTTTTCGAATTTGCGGTATTTTTATACTTAGTAATTTAACAGGAAAAATTAACAGAACACAAAAATTGGCTTTTTTGTATTTATGGTCTAGTTGATTTTGCGGAAAATAGTAGCATGCAATATTTACCTATCACAAAAACATAACGATAACGTTATTAGCGTTAGTAAGATCCTATATTTCTATATCAAAAAAGGAATATCCGTTACCAGCTAACGCTAAAGTATACTTTTTCGTACTAGATGCTTACAAATAAATTTTTACAATTACAAAACCAATAATGATAAAAGGTTCTATGTTTTGCATAAAATCTTTCACCATCAAATATTGGTTGTAATTGTTAATGTGGGATATAATTATATAAATAATACTACAAATAATGATTTTTGATCATTTGCTTTTTCAGATAAATTGATCTTTTTTAATGTAATATATATATATCGATATGCTTGCACGTATTTGTACTCTTATTTTTCTCGATATAGAATCAATATTAATTTCAATTGTCACTATAAAGATAAGTATTTGTGCATAATATATTATTTAAAGCAAGAACACAACACTAGCTTTTTTATTAAATCACATGAATTACGCATTGTCCCTAATTTCGCCCAAATTACTGATCCAATTATATAAACAGAGATGTGCGTCTGAATTTTTGTCCAACAGTTTGTGATTTTGGGCGAAAACAACAAAAACACCGAGAAGCATAATATAGTTAAACAGTGATTAGCGACCTCGCAAGGTTGCTTTGGCTTTTTTACGGAGAAATTTGAACAAATTTCCTCGTACCTCATATATATATATATATATAGATTGATAAAATATCGAACGATATATCAGGAGCAGGAACTTTTTTTATAGTTGTTTTGATTGCACATACTTTGTTGTTGTCCGTCAAGGTACACCTTGGAAGTGCTACCTGACAGGAAGCAGCCGATAGCAATACCTTCATCAAAGACAAAATTTTCTGCTCTACTGAGCTTTTTATTACTTGAGCAATGTCGGATGCGGTGGAGAAGGTGTTAGCTGCTTTGAAAGCAAACAGTAGGTGTTTTACTGGGAGACTTTGTTGTTGGATTTTGAGACTTTGGTTAAATGTGAATGACTGTTTATTCACTTTTCTATTTCGAATTACATGTCTTAAAAAGATCTTGAAAAAAAAGTTGAAGCTATATCATTATTAGAAGACGAGCTTTTAGACGGAATTTATATCGAGGTTAGCTTAATTACGAGAGAAATTGGTCATTTAAAATACATACGAACAAAATTCCTAGGATTCTTACTAACAGTTAAAATTTCGCCTCAATCTGTCAACATATTCAGCCACAAGATCTCATTCAGTTAATAACAGCTCTTCGAGAAGCATTAAAAGCCTCGCAACAAGCACTCTCATACAGGGCGTTAACATGCTTAAGTCCACTAACAAGCAACGTATCTGAAACCAATCAAACCCACCTCAATAAAATCATAAGTCAACTCACACCAATCGTGATAGATAAACTCGGCGACAACAAAGATAAAACGCGTGACGCAGCGCTAAAAGTTTTGATTGATATGTGGAGCTCAGGCGTGGATGTACACACGAGCAGCAATAATCCGACAATTTTGACAAAGTTAACGAATATGATTAAAGAGTTAGCGTTTGGTCATAAATCGTGGAGAGTGAGGGAACAGGTCGTGATTTTTTTTTAGTTTGTTATCTTAGAATGATGTTATTTAGTTAATTATAATAAGAATTAATTTTTTGAGTTGTTATCATTATCAAACAGATATTACAATGGATTGTTGCATGTACCAAAATGATGCCGGATTTCTCATTACGCATATGGCTATCATATATAATCAAACTATTGGAAGATTCCAATGAACAAGTGAGAGAAGCTAGTAAGGAAACGATAGTGTCACTTTTCAGGTACGAGATTATTTTATTGCATCCAAGTTTTTAAACATGAACAAGTTCGAAACAATAAAAAACACAACTTCTTTTTAGTTCTGCCTCACAGCACGCCAAATCTGATCTAAAACGAGAATTAAAAAACAAATCGATCCGTGCCGCAACAATCGACTACATTTTTTCCAAAGTTCCAATAAATTTATCCGACGTACCTGATGATCGAAGCACTATCTCATATGACAGTACGACAGATGCGCATACTGACGGTGGAACTGATGAGGATAATAATAATAATAATAGTAATGGTGCTAGTGATGATTTATTACGGCCACCAAGTGCTGCAGAGAGTGATGTTGATCCAGTCTATGTGAGTAAGAATTAATTAATTTTTCTATGTAGCGGTTTTAATTTCCGCTAATTTTTTTTGAAATCAAATTTTATAATAATCATGTTAAAAATTCAATCAGATTGATAGTGCACGAGATTTGGAAAGAGAATTTCAAACTATGACTAATATTTTTCAAGGAAAAGAGACTGAACAAAATTGGGGAGATCGCGAAAAACATGCCAATCGGTTACGATCTTTGCTTCGTGGTGGCGCGTACTCTAAATTTCCTGATCAATTTATGGTCAGTCTAAGAGTGATAATGGACGGTATAATGAGCTCGGTAAGTAAATATTTACGTTGCAAATTAATTTTCATTCATGTGTTATTAGGTACCTATACATTAAAAACTATATTTCTTTAAATTGATTAGCTGCGTAGTCTACGCACGACGTTGACACTAGCTACTTGTGTTTTAGTAAAAGATCTCGCCGGATACCTTGGCCCAGCAATAGACCCATTCGCCGATAACCTACTAGCCCACCTAATAAAACAATCAGGTGTCGTGAAAAAACTAGTCGCACAAGCAGGCATGAATGCCGCCGAGGCACTACTAGCAAACGCATCATATCATCTACGACTTGTGAATCAGCTGTGGGGTGCTATGCAGGACAAAAGCGTACAATTGAGGGCGTATACAATTGGGTTTATAAAAGTTGTGGTGAACACGCATACCGCGCGAAGAGATGCCATTCAAAGAAATGGTGGCGCACAACTGCTACAGAATTGTTTAAAGAAGGGGTTGACCGATGCAAATCCTAAAGTGCGAGAAGGAAGTCGTGCTGTGTTTTGGGAGTTTTATGAGGTTTGGTCGGAATTGGGTGATGCGTAAGTGTATTATAAACTAAAATTCTTTTTTATTTCTTTTTTTATTTATGTAATAAATTTGTTATGTGATTTTTTCAGATTATTGAATTCTGTTGAGCCAGCTGTAAAAAAACAAATGATACTAGATAAACCAAAAGGTACAATTGAATATCGAAAACCTTCTACATCTTCACCTTCACGAAGCAGAAGCAAGGGTCCACCTCTTCGAAGCAAACAATCGGGATACAGGCTAAATGGTAGCTCCCCCGATTCTCGATTCAGCGATCCTCCCGAATCAGAATCATCGTCGAAGTATTTAACGCGGCAACCAAGTACTTCATATCTTAGAGCAAAATCCCCATCACCAAGTTTAGCAAGGTCTTTAGCAAGTTCTAACTCTACTTTATCTCCGTCACGGCAACCTCTTATTTCGTCTAAGTCTAATAATAATATTAATACTCTGGGTAAGCCCCGTTCACCCGTAAGAGTTCCCCCGGCAAAGTTTTCGCTAATGCAACAATTAAAACATGAAGATAGTGCAATGCGGATTGATGGTATTATTAATTTAGCACATTCGATAGAACGGAAAATAGCACAGAGTACTCCTGAAAAACCAGGAATTCATCAGGAATTGAGAAAATCACCGATACCGCCTGATGAGGAATTAATACCAATTTTACTGAATTTATTAAATGATAACACGCCAGAAGTTATCACTACGTTATTAGACTCTGAAATCATACCATATATAATA